CATCAAACAGGTACTTCTGAGGGAAGTTTAAATTTTCTGTCTCTGTTTCGTTGGATGAAAAAAAAATTCAGGAAAATGAGACTGAAAAAAGTGACCTGATGGGTTTTAACGAAATTTTTTTCTCTTGAAATGTAGGGTCACGGAACTCCATGCCACCCAGTTTCAGCCTTATACTTTTCCCCTTTTTGCTAGCGGAAAAAAAATGTATTTGGAAAAGCAACCCCTCTAAAAGCAGTGATCTGAGGAGTCGCACAACAAAATTTGAATTTTTCTTTAAATCAATATCACGTCCGTTATGAGTGCGCCAGCTACTTTTCTATTTCTGCCCGATTCTGTAGGAAATGAAAACTTATTTGAAAACTTTACATCCCAAGAAATATGAACCCCGTAAATATTTTGGAAATTTGACGTAATACATTTCAGCTCAGTACGTCAGCAGCCACGTTCTTGCCAAGTTTCCAAAGGGAACTATTTGAAAATATGTTCCCCGAAAAGGCGGGTCCATACGGCCCTTGTGCCCCCTGGGCGTTTACTTCCAAAGTTTGAATTTTCTGCACGCAGTATCCCAATAGGCAGTGATGTACTAAGTTTCATTTTTCCACACCAGCTCAATACGCCAGGGCAAAAAGAAATTACGTGAAAACATCGGCCCCTAAAAACATGCCCCCTGAGGGCATGGATCTTAAATTTTTCATTTTTCCTGAACTCATCGTCTTCGTAGGCATGTCCATGGCATGTTTCAGCTTTCCATGTTTCTCCGTTTTACTAAGGCCAAAATATTGCAATGAAGGGGGAATGAGAAACGCGAATTGGAAGGCATGACAGGCTGAAAGAAAGCCACGGAACCGCCGGGACTTGAACCCGGGTGTCCTGATTGCCGGTCAGGTGTGCCACCACCGAATCCGAAATTGACCACCACCACCAACACCACCGAATCCGAAATTGACCACCACCACCAACACCACCGAATCCGAAATATCCAGTCAAGCCTCCCAATGCCATCCTAATCCTTCAAAATATATATCTTTAAAAGCATCTCTCACCAAAATATGTACCCCAGGGCGCTACACATTTTGAGAGGAGAAGTTTTTAAAAAATATATATCTATATCTATGAGCAAGGATCTCTGTCTCAGTCAATCAGACGCTATGCATTCGGACACCGTTGGAGATATCGACCTGAAACTTTCCCAGGAGGGTGGGGTCTGTTCAGTAGCAGGTCATAGGGGGGTCGGGGTAAAGGGGGGCGGCTCCGGGGGAGGGGTCTCGGGGTCTCAAAAAAGGGTGTTCCAGGCCAGCTAGGGAGACAGAGACAAGGGATTGGGGTTTTACGGGTTCCTAGAACCCGTTTGATGCAAAAAAAAGTCTGGCTGACACACCCCGAAAGAAATCACTGTCAACAAATAAACAAAATTGGATTGCTGAACAATCAACAGAAATCAGTGTCAAAAATTAAAATAATGGCCGCTAAAAAATCAATCAAAAATCAGTCAAAAATTACATAGAATTTGGTTCACCTTAGCTATCTAACAGTAGTAAAATTGCCCTGGCCTTTACTTACCAATTTCACTTCCATCCACAGTGAAGTTGCTAACTTCTATAAGGCCCCCTTCAACAAAGCCAAGACACTTCATGTATTCTCCAACTAACTTCAAGAAGCAACAAGTCAAATACTGTTTGGCCAGGGTCAGTATTTGCCTCATCACTACCACACCACCCTGCCCTTTTCGGGGCTACCCTTACGAAAATATCTTATAAGATTCCNAAATACAACTCCTGCTTCCAAATTACATCCTTTGGAGCAGGACACATTGAGATAGAAACTTACATGTTTGGCAAGTTCAAAGTTCAAGGTCAGGTCTACCATGACATCGGTTCCCTACTGCCCCTCCACAATGATGAACACAGGTTTCTCCAAATTGGCTTTATGGGTGATGCTGGGGATCAGGCCAGGCAGCGCCAGAGCAACATTCCTGGCCTGAACTTTGAAGGTGTCCTGGCCCTTCATGCTCATAACCCTTACGTGAAGATGTTCAAGACTGCCATTGAACAGATGACACATGATGAGTTCAAAGTAGTCATCAGGGCAGACAGGACTCCTCCGGGAGAGCACGAGAGAAGGTTCAATGTCCCGACCACAAATGAGGTGGCCAACCTCGTTGTTGGAAATGAGTTCAACAGTCGCGACATTGTCCTTCACAAGAGGACTCCTCCAGGGACATTCCCCTGTCCAGAATTTCAGAGACAAACCGTGCCTATGATACTCTTCAGTACCCACTTCTGTTTCCCAATGGGGAAGATGGATATCACTTTGTAATCATTCAAGGGCACAAGGTGACATCTCTGCAGTTCTATGCCTTCAGAATGATGTACAGGTAGCAAGACTTTAACCACTTGCTCCGCTGTGGCCCTTTGTTCCATCAGTTTGTCGTCGACATGTATGCAAAAATCGAAAGTGAGCGACTAAGATACTTTAGTCTTAACCAGACAAAACTAAGGGTGGAAAATAATGAACATCTCCGAGATGCAATGGCCAATGATGGTGATCCAGCCAATGCTGGCAAGCTGACCATCCTTCCTTCCTCCTTTACTGGAGGACCATGCTGCATGCAGGAAAGGACTCAGGATGCCATGGCTTATGTCAGAAACTATGGCACTCCAGATCTGTTCATCACTTTCACCAACAATCCAAATTGGCCGGAAATTACGGCAGGGCTGCTACCAGGCCAAAAAGCAGAAGATAGAACAGATCTGGAGGCGCGAGTGTTTCATCGAAAGTTGATCTTCCTGATGAGCCTTCTCAAGAACCAGAAAGCTCAAGTCTTTCGTGAGGTGAGGTACACCATTTACTCAATTGAATGCAAAAGAGGGGTCTTCCCCATGCCCACATCCTCCTTTGGCTCAAAGACAAGACTCGGTCCAACCAGATTGACTCTTGCATTAGTGCTGAACTTCCTGACAAGCAGGCAGATCATGTCCTCTTTGAGATTGTGTCCAGGCACATACTTCATGGCCCTTGCGGACCACTGAACTGGGACTCTTCATGCATGAAGAACCGCAAATGCTCCAAGAGATATCCCAGGGAGTTTGTGCATGAGACAAAGACTGGAGATGACGGATATCCACTCTATAGGAGGCGAAATCCTCAGCATGGGGGTTTTACAGTAAAAAGAGGGAACAACGAATATGACAAAAGGTGGGTTGTTCCATACAGCCTCCTCCTGTCTCGCATTTTCAATGCCCACATCAATGTCGAGTTCTGCAACTCTGTCAAGGCAATCAAGTACATCTGCAAATATGTCAACAAAGGTAGTGACCAAGCAGTGTTTGCTTTGCAGAGGGGCGGGGCTCCAGTCAATGCCAACGATGAGATATCTCGCATTTTCAATGCCCACATCAATGTCGAGTTCTGCAACTCACAGTTCCGTTAGTTCATGTAGACGTTTATACAGTTGTTTCCATCACTGGTTCGTCACAAACGAAACGTCTCCCCGCCCCGAGGTCAGTTACGGTTGCTACTCTAGTGTACGATAGTCTACCCAGCGATGTAGTCATCGTTACTCCGTCAAACCTCTTCCTTGGAGTTCCCAATTCATGAGCGCTACCCCACAGTGACTCATCTGAGTGTTCACTTGGAGAATGGGCAAAGGGTCTTCTACGAGGGAAATGCAGAGGAAAGAGCTCAGACTCCTCCAGCCACCACGCTCACTGCCTTCTTTCAACTCTGCCAGTCTGACGAGTTTGCCAGAGGACTTTTATATTGCGAAGTCCCAAGGACTTTTATTATACCTAGCAACCAAACAAGACTTGGCAGAGAAGAGAGAGGGGGGCAGCTGTGGAGGGACACCCTGGGGTCTTTTCAGATGCAGCACTCGGTCGAGTATACACTATTCATCCGAACAACTCAGAGTGTTTTTACTTGCGCCTTCTACTGCACAATGTTATTGGGCCAACATGATTCAAACACCTTCGCAATGTCAATAACAAGCTCTGTGCCACTTTCCATGAAGCCTGCCAGAGGTTAGGTCTTCTGGAAAATGATAAGCATTGAGACTTGACTTTGCAGGAAGCAGCAGCAACACACGCAGCTTTTAAGCTCAGAAACCTCTTTGCGGTGATCCTCACAGCCTGCTCACCTGTCAACACAAGGCAGCTGTGGGAGACTCATGAGCGGAGCATGACAGAAGACATTCTTCATCGGTGCAGACAGATGGACCCAGCTCTGAATTTTACTGATGCCATGTACAATGAGGCTCTGATTCTCATTGAGGACAAAGTCATGAGCATGGTTGGCAAGACCATGCAACAGTTGCAGCTTGGGATGCCAGCCCCAGTTCGAGATGAGGCCAACCGGTTGAACAGGGATATGCTTCGTGAGACGTCTTATAACACTGACCAGTTGGCACGAACAGTTGCAATAATGGTCCCCAGCCTGTCACCTGACTAAGTTGCAGCATATGACAGGATAGTCAACCCAGTTCAGCAAGAAGCAGCTTGCATCATCTTTCTCGATGCACCTGAAGGAACAGGTAAAGCATTTCTGATCAACCTGCTTCTTGCCAAGGTCCAGTCAGAGGAAAATATTGCACTTGATGTGGCTTCCTCTGGCATTGCTGCAACACTTTTGACTGGCGGCAGGACAGCCCACTCAGCTTTCAAGCTGCTATTGGATATTCATCGAGCAGAGAACCCATTTTGCAACATCAGCAAAGGCACTGGTGTTGCTGAGGTCTTGCAGAGCTGCAAACTGATTGTGTGTGATGAGTGTACAATGTCCCACAAAGCTGCATTCGTGGCACTAGACCGCACTCTGCAAGACCTGAGGGGCACATTGCTGCAACCATTTTGACTGGCGGCAGGACAGCCCACTCAGCATCCAACCTGCCATTGGATCTTCATCGAGCAGAGAACCCAGTTTGTAACATCAGCAAAGGCACTGGTGTTACTGAGGTCTTGAAGAGCTGCAAACTGATTGTGTGGGATGAGTGTACAATGTCCCAAAAAGTTGCATTCGAGGCACTAGACCGCACTCTGCAAGACCTGAGGGGCAAGACTCAGTGCATGGGTGGGGTGACGTTGGTTCTCTCGGGAGACTTCCGACAGACATTGCCAGTCATTCCCATTAATAAACACATGAATATATATGTCGTTACCATGAGAGGTGACTCAGATTTGGAATAGATTGGACTCAAAGTATGGATGGAGAGTATTGGAGGGAAATCAGGATTGCAATATATGAATCACATTCATTTAGCCAATTTGCCCTTTGGAAGTTTCAGGATTCTAGTACACTGAGGTTCATTCGACATGGGTCCCCCTCGTTGAAGCACCGAAATCGGCGATGACCAACAGCAGCGTCATATCGATAATTGCTATTACGCTCTTTGCAAAAATGATGGCATACATAAGGGAACATAGTTTATACTTTACCTTGAGGGAGGGTCTCTTCTGGTACAATGTATTCCAATGATTATCAGAGAGGGAGGCAAGAGCATTGGAGAATGATCCAGGTTTTTCGATGAGGAAGCCTCTTCTCTTCATTTCCTGCCACAGTCGAATCCGGCTTTGTGCAGCCGGATGGTTCCCCCCGTCGACAATAACGAGAGTCCGGATGGCCCGGGAGATCCCATCCACCACCCACGAGTCCTCAACCCCTACGCACATCACCAGGAAATGCTCGCACCCTCGATAATCTTTGGGATGGTGGATCTGTGTCTCTTCGCTCATTGTTGACCCATGAAGTATGTTCAGTGTCGCCTTGAAGAGCTCTTTGATCTCGTTATCCGAGATCAGCACCACAAATTTCTTCTCCTACACACAGGACAAGTTACACGTTATAATGCGTCTCGAGAGAATATAATCAGACGGCGGTATATAAAAAAATTGTGCATGCGATGGTTTTAAAAATTCGGGCTAAAGATGCGATCTCCGAAGTACTTACAATTACAGCTTCCCTTCACGATAGAAATAGAGAGGAACGTTATCTCGTTGGAAGATGATCCTCATCCACGCACTAGATGGTTCGAAATTCGAGATAAGGTAATATATGTGCGTAATGTGATCCATTGAAAGTCGCAATTTGAAATCCATCGAATAAAGTACATCGAATAAATAGATTTCAGAGATAACGTCCTTAGTGAAGCCAAAACAGTCGCTTAGACATGAAGCAATTGTGCTTCAAACACAACTGGTGGATATTCGTTGATTCAAGTTACGCTCTGCGTGGACAGGGTGGCCCATAAGTCCCAATATTTTATAATTTAAACGAAATCAGAAAAAATAAAAAATGTCATAAAATGCTTCAATGTGTATGAGTATCTCGTTAATCCAGCAGGAATGGAAATGAAATAGATAAATGACATCTCCAGACAATAATTTATCATGAAATAGAAGACCTTCATGTAATCTAGGTATTATCCCGACCCATTCACTTTTAGTCACAAAATGAAATGAACATACCGACTTGTAGGAGTACAGATAAGCAGCTGCTGCTACAGCTAGGCAACTCCGAGCCTCGCTGTCCTGACATTTGAATCCCCCATGGTTATGTCCCTCAGGAGGAGGAGAAATAAGTTCGGGTTTTGTCCCAAACACGAAAGAACAAGACTCAAGACTCGTGCTCAAGGTTCCTGGGTGAAGTTTCTGCTCGGTGGGGGATTCGTGGGAGAGGACATGCTGAAGGAGGCGAGGAAAGCCCACATCGCGCCATCCCTTCTCCAGGATCTTCACGGTGTTAGTTATATCTAATCGAGAAAAAATAATTAGTTCCTAATGACATACTTAAAGCGAAAAGGAAGCTTTTCCCTTCAAGCCTATCAATGTTGAATAATGTATGAATATGTTGAAACCCAAGAAAACAATTTCGTAAAATTGCTGAAAACAAATTTAAGAATGAAAGATAGGGAAACAAAGAAAGGCAGCTTTGTCTACCCATGGAACGGCAATGAGAGGCTTCTTAAGGGGGTTTTACCGAACATGCAAATTTCTTCATAGACGAGTAACGAGTACGTTCTATATTAATGTAGGCATTCGCTCTAATGATCAACCATATTCATGTCTGTTTCATGAAGAATTATGTAGCCACTGTAATTAGGACTACGCTGATTTGCACTATTGGTACGAAAAGCAACTCATCATTAATGTTTGCATACATTCAGAAAAATAACCTCAACTAAAACGAACTGTAGACAAAATTTACGTCGAGGCATCAATAAATTTTTCAGAATGAGCTTCTTGGGGTTTAATTACAAAACATCAAAAAGTGCAATGTATAGTTTTGAATATAGCCTTTCCATAATGCTTTCCCCTACATGAGCGAGCTTCCTTTAAGCAATATTACGCAATAATAAGTAATAATAATAAAGCAAGCACTGATATCATAGACAACAATTTGTATTAAGACGGAATAGAATGCTTCATCATGGGGAGCAGCTGTGATGTGTCTTCGTCTTCGTAACAGTGCCACGGAGGAATATTTCAATCGGCAAAATCTCTGCTCACCAAGAGGCCAGTGTCAAGTTCTTCACAATCTACGATTTAGAATGATAACAGCATCCGCAAAAAAACGAAATTTAGTCACCATTTTGCTTGACTGAAGCATTTCTCTCATGAAAACATTGGCTTCCTTGCATGATGAAATGTCAGTCAAATTTGTATTCATATTTGTTCGAACTGCCGGTTTAATTTTTTAAAATAAATATTTATTAATCAGGCTGAGCCTCACTGAGCGTGGACCAGCAACTTCTCGGTTATCATTAAAAAAAAAATCGCTCCTGATGCTTTAAATATATATAACTTTAGCATTTCTTCGGAGTCACACGCTAATTTCGATCCATAATGTTGTCTCACTTCAGGCGACTTCCATTTCCGCTGGTATGAAAACGCCTCGATTATTCACGGGGTTCTTTGTATCTCCCTAAAATATCGTGACAAAATGTGACACAATACCCCAGGATAGGCAAATGGAAAACCTTGCAAACTTGGAACCGATGTATTCTGTTTTAAGCGCACGTTTTACTGGAGTTTTTTTTAAATTCCATGTACTCTTCATTATTCCAAATTATATCTGAATGTGTTCATATTTGTTATTCTTAAGCGCATGAGGTACTAAAATACCATGCCGGTTTCCACATTAGCGAATCAAATCAATACTTCTTTAATTATATTCCCTGACCTGTTACTTATTCATGAATCAAGACTAAAGACATTCTTCAGACCCAGTAATTATTCTATTCTTAATCATGATTAAATATTCAATAAGGCCATCCGGAGTAGGTGTGGTCACAGGGTCAGTGTGATCATTCCTAATTTTGGTAATTCCAACATTATGCCATTAGCGAACTATGCCCTAAGAAGTACTCTCTCATGCTAATTCTGGTTTGCTTATCTTGTGGAATTTCACAGGCTCAACTGAGAGATATAGGGTGTCCATGAAGTCCTTGATACATCAAAGACTTTAATACCTCAAAATGTATTATGCATATGACAATGCTGTTTTTTTTTATCAGACAGAGCAATTGAAAGATTTTCTACCAATTAGCGCACAACTTCGACGTGTGCACCATTAGTGCGCACCAAGAGAAACGCTTCTCTGATCCTGAGGCACCTTTTCATTTGATACTGAAGGCTGTCCTGCAGGTTTCCTGTTTAAAGCGCTGCCGGTTTCCAAAAATTTGTCATGCGGTAATTACGCTGCAGGGTAACACCAGACTTCGACTCCGCAAACCAATAAGCACATTGGGCTTTTTCTTGTGAAGTCACAATTTTTCGTCAAGTGCTGTTTCACACCAAAAAATTAAAAAAGAAAATATGGGTTAAACACAAATTCTTTGAGTACTCTATCTGATGGGGAAGACCTCGATCAGCGCTTGGCAGAGCTGATCGAGGTCTTCAGTGTCAAGGAGGACACTCCAGTCAGTGCATTGAAGTTCAAAGTTCAGGCGGTCACTATCTAGGAGTTTCCTCTTGCGGGTAGGCTTGTTTCTGGTATGCTTTTGGCCATGGTCTTTCTGTAGTAGAGGTTTTGGGCAGATGAGGATGGTGCTGTGATCAGCTATGCTTGCTAGTTTCTTGGAGATGAAGTGACAACCACTTGCATTGGTCCAGACTTGATCCAGGCAACTGTCCATGCGTGTGGGAAACCTTACCAGATTCCTGAAACCAGCTGGTATTAGCAGCTTTTCGAGTGGTGCCCTGTTCAGGTCACCAGCAATGAAGACTTCGCTGTTATCTCCGTATGGAAGTACGATGTGGTCGTGCACCCAGTCTGATGCTGAAGTTAGATGTGCAGGTGGGCCTATGTTCACATATACAGATGATAATACGTATTGATTGCATTTCACTACTACACAATCGAGAATGTTGCTTGATTCACTTAAGATCATTTGTGGGTTGTCACACCATGCTGAGTTGATGTAAAGTGCGGCTCCTCCTCCCTTCTTTTTGCTTGAGTGTTTCCTGTCCGCTCGAAAAATTTTGTAGCCTTTTATGTTGACAATGTCGTCCTCAACCAGTGGTGTCAGCCATGTTTCTTGTGTGGCAAAGGCAGAAATGCTATTGAACTGACTTCTTCGCAGAATGTCTGCTAGTAGGCCTATTTTTGGTGGAAGGCTTTGTACATTGGCTGACAGCATTGCAGGTCTTTTGAGACTCTCGGGAGAGCTCTGCTTCAGTTTGTTCCAGAAACCAACTGACTTCTTCGCAGAATGTCTGCTAGTAGGCCTATTTTTGGTGGAAGGCTTTGTACCTTGGCTGACAGCATTGCAGGTCTTTTGAGACTCTCGGGAGAGCTCTGCTTCAGTTTGTTCCAGAAACCTCCTCGTTTGCCTCTAGGCCTAGGTTTCTTCTTGTTCTTGTTCTTGCGCTGCATTGATCTTGGGCTGTCTATCTTTGCCTTGGAGTTCGGCCTGCGTGGGCCTATGCCAAGATCATTCAGGATGGCAGCAATGTCTGGGTGAATATTCTGTGAGGCCTTGAACTTTAGGGCGAGAAGTTCTTGTTTGGATACCTGCCGATATGTAGAAGGAGCACTCTCGCGCACAATAGGAAACATCACAGCAGGAGTGAGAAGATAGAGAAAGAGGAAGCGAGGAAAGCGAGGGAAGGAAAGGAAAGCGTGCTGCCACAAGGGCGCCGCCATTCTTCCCTGGGGCCACCTGTGAGGAATAGGGGGAAAGAGGAAACAAAATATCGGAATGAAACTTAACCTACTCAAAACGAGGTCCTCTATTCTCCAGAACACAGGGGTTCACAGTTTCAAATTTCCTGATGTTATTCGGCGTTCAGATAGGAAGAAGAGTCCATATCATTACCTCACAATATCTTCGGAAGCATAACTACGAGATGCAATTTAGAAAAAGCTACTTCAGATATTACTTTTAAATGGCATCTAGAAGTAGAGGGAAAGTAAATCGCAGATGACATGCGGAAATACAGAGATTTGGAACATCTGCGAAGTCTTAGAATTGCAAATCATACCTACTCCTGATATTTCTCAAAAAACTACATTTGATGCTTGATGCAAAAAAAAAGAAATTTTTCTATGAGATGTAATAAAATTTTAAAAATAATAAAATTTGAAAAAAGTAGCTGATAACAGTGACAGTAAAACCTGCCGAAAAGTAGAAACAGAGCTGAGACATTGAATTTGGAGATAATACAGATCGTAGAAGCAAATGAAAAACAAAATGGGAAGATGAATTATTTGTTAAGGATCTCTCAATGGGAAACAATACTCATGAAGTGGGTAGTGATGAATGATACTTAAATAGGTCAATTTAGTTCCGGAATGGTCAGTTCTTGAAGCAAAAACAAGAAAATAACATGTTAACCATTCCACACCTGTTATTCTGCTGATCCATCAAAGGCAAGATCGACTGTCTCCTGCCGCATTGAATTGCCTAAGTTAAACATTATACATTACCCTCATCTGTAATAGAAAGCATTTAGACTGGTTTTAAATTCTTAGAATAGTACGCAATGAAGCTTCAGATTACCTGTCCCTGTGGGGAGTTGCAGGTCCTTCTGGAACTTTTTTACGTTGAAGGTGGTTGTCTGATATTGGACATATGGCAAGAAGGCTATGTTTAGAGAGCCGAGTAAGTCTTCTGAGTCATTTGATTCTGCGCCTTCGGAGTTGTCGAATGTTGAATCTTGCCGTCGCGATATGAGGGATCGAAGAATGGATTCCCATTCTTCCCTCCATTCATCCGTTTCTTGTGGCATTGTCAGCTGATGAACAGGGGCATCATCAAAGGCTATGTGGAGTCTTCGTCCTTCGTTTTTACACTCTTCTAGCATTCTCCCAAGAAGTTCTCCGATAACTCGAGGAGAAAGGGCAATTTTATCGTCGAGTCCATGCCCTCTCAGAAGGTCGTGGATATCATGGACCTGGAAAATACTTTCTTGGCTTTTTAGCTGAAATCTCTCTGCTATTTTCTCTCTAGTTTTTTCTTTGGCAACAATAGAGAGACTTCTCGGAAAAGAATTCCTGGTCCACCTGCTACAGTCTACAAAGTTTGATATAGTCGATCTGTTGGGTACCAATGAAATATGCGAATCATTGCACAATTTCTCCATGAGAAAGGCAGTCTTCCCAGAGCGATGGGGTCCGAAGACAAGATTGACCTGCGTTTCTGCGGTGTTTTCATTATCTTGCTTAATTGTGGAATGAAGTTCATTTTCGAGATCGGTATTAGAAGAACCCACAAAGCCTGGCAGAGCGATTCCAATTGATTCAAGCTTCCAAGAGCATCCAACCTCTCCATAAGCAGATTCGTTCAGGATCTTGGGTTCATTTAATGAAACTCTCGAGGGGGGCGGATCACGTTTTCTGAAAGAGATGGAGCATACAAGACCAAGGTGCTGAGATTCTTTCCAGCGGCTAGACAGGTGAGGTTCCGTCGTAATGACATGAAGAGATCGTCGAGCCATGCACACCATCCTAGACCAAGAGTGGTAACATTCAGTTTCATCATCCAAAAGAACGAGGTTCTCGAATGCCAGGCCAGTCACTTGCTCTTGATGGAATATGAGGTAACCCGGTGAGGTTGCTCCTCGAAGTCTTCCTTCGGAGTCCAAGAAGGCGACTCCTTCTTGGAATGTATCGTCGAGTTCTCTTACCAGAGTATCTCTTTCCCGGTTTGTTCTCGTAATAACGATGAATGGCAAGGAATCTTCCATGTATCGGCCAATTTCCACAGCAGCCGTTGGAGCCCATAGATACACCCATTTGTACTCCGGAGGAGCTGTGATGATGACTGGGGTGTTGGACTCATGCATGTCGTCCATTTCATCGAGACTATAGTTTAAGCCTTCCATAGGTAGTAAACTTGCACATGGGAACCTTTTTCGAATGAAGCGGGTAACTGCTACAAAGAATTCGCCGATATAGTGGGTGCACCGTTTTATCTCTGTTAGCACCTCCACCTTGTCTTCACCCAACGCATCAATTACTTTCTGCAGATGAAGCGCTTCTTGGTAGGAGGCATCACTGTGGCGCCAAGCAATCCACAGGCTTTGGCATTTAATATTATTTACTAAATGCCTCCAGTTTTGTCCGATATGCTCAGGATCCTTGCCGTCCATACCAAAGTTCAAGGGCATTTCATCCACCATTATGTGATATTTTCCTTTTTTATTGATTTTATTCAAAAATAGGCTCATATTTCTCTCTTCAGAACTTACAGCCGATAAATTCTCTTTAGAATTTCTCTGCTTACACCCAAGAAATTCTGAAGAATCCATGACTTGGACATACCTCTTAGGTACGTTGTCTTTAATGTAACTAGTTAGTTTTCCATCAGACATGTTAACGATGATGACAGATGCACCATTGCTTGCCAGTTCTTCAGCTCTCTTGAGGAACAGGTAGGTCTTCCCTGTACCTTGCCCACCGGCTAAGAACAAGACTTTCTGATCTTTCCATAGGATTTCCTTTTGATGCAGTGTGAGGAGAAGCAAGGATTTATTCATGCTTCCATCGATGCGCTGATGGAGTTCTGCCGTTGTCCTTGGCAAGTCTGAGATGGATGCCGAAGCAGCGACGTAAGTCTGCATCATGTCCAAATAGCACGCCTTGGCTGATGGATCTTGTGTATTCTGCCCCAGCAGAGTAATTCCATTATTCTTGAGAAACCTCCTGAAAGTAGCACAGGATTGCAGATCGTCTTCCGTGAGAATGTGCTTGTCGCAGTCACAGCCCAGAGAATCTTTCACATCACTTCTTGATAGGAAAGGGAATGCGATGAAGCTACAGTGGAAAGTGTGAGAAAAAGCCATCGCTCCGAAAATCTTTTCGTTAATTTGTTCGCCCTTGAAGAGTTGATCTTCAGCTTTTCCAGTTTTTTTATTCAGCAAAGCAGTGAGATTGGAAGCTCTCTCTAGGCTCTTCACTTCGAAAACGAGGAAAAGAACACAGTTGCCATTCAAGGCAATTAAGCACACGTCTTGCTCAGTTGGCAAGAATTTGAAACCCTCCTTTTCCCATTCAAATCGTGCTTTCTTTTTCTCCCTCTTATTCTTTCCAGTAACCCCCATCGCTCTGTAAATCGTCGTGTCGAAATCGTAATCCCATGACACAAAACTAGGAGTGTTACAAAATTGTTCCTTTACAACATTGAAAACCTTGGCCACTGCCTCGTACTGTTTGGGAATCCTCTTTCTTTCTCTTCCTGACTCTGTTTCATCGAATTCCCTAAGCAGGATCTCTTCTGTTCTATTTTTTAATAGGCATTCATTCGGGAATGAGTGGGATTTATTCTCTGCATCATCATAAAATTTTTTTTGGTACTTCTTAGCTGCCTCGAGGAAAGAGAGTTGCTCATATCCCACATCACGAACTTTCATCATCTTGTTCTGGCGAGGATCATCTATGTGACATTCTTTCATGCGTCTCAATTCAGACAAGTTCTTCAATCGCTCACACTTGTGCCCAATTTTATCCTGCAAGATGGATGAGATGCACAAAACTTCCCCGAAGTCACGAAGTCACTCTCAGTTACCAGTTAAAAGACGTTTAGTTAAATCATCCACGGACCTTCTGCAGTTGATGAATCGCTTCTTTCTTGGCAACCCATTCCTGTTCTCTCTGCTCACTGGTCCTAATTAAGTGGAAAGGAAAGGAATAAACAGGATCAGAAATATGTTATACTGGCTAAAACTGGTAGCATCCTAGGGTTTCTGAAGCCTTCGCGAAAATAGTGCCTTACAAGAGAGCAAACTAACATTGTATGTTAGGGCAATTACGGGGAATAAGGCTATTGGGGTAATATGGCCCTTCACAATGAATCCCTAACGGCCTGAATAAATAGTTTTGGCGAATTTTAAAAATAGTTCCATCAAAGTGTACATGGAATTGTCGAAATTTTTAGACCTGCTCATTAATACAGTTCTCCAGTAATCCGGGATACATCGATGTCTTGAAAGTCACATGCATGCGATTCTTCAACGCATCACCCTGAAGTGAAAATGAGCCTCGAGCTACTTAAACTTATATTTCCTACTAGCAGCTAGGATACGAAAACAATTTGTTAAAAGTTATTATATGGTCCCTCCAGAATTATTGTGGAAATTGCCAGCCCCTTCACTTGCAGTTTGCAGACAGATTTGTCAATATAGTGATGAAAGTCAATATTGGGGAATATGGCCACTTCGACTTTGGGTAACATGGACACATCCTTCATTTCTTGGTAGCACCGCACTGATCAATTGGTAATGTCAACATCCTTTCACAGACCCCAGGCAGCAAATTATCATCCTATGCACATCCTCTACATGAATAGTTGTACAGGACATCTGCACGAAATACAAGGTATGCAGTTCATGAGGAAGCGCTGCATGGGGATATGCTCATGCACCTGGACATCCGCTTGGCAACTCCAGAAATTTTTCTGGTATTAAATTTGATTGCAATATTCGAGTCAGGTAATGATGTCGACTTGACTTCTCCATGCTATTAGTATTTCTTTTTCAACTGCTAAGCGTTCTTTATTATGTTTCAAGGTACTCAGTTTGTTCCAGCATATTTCACACGTTCCTGGAAAACCTTAAGTTGTATTTTCAGAAGTGGCCACATTCCCCAACTATATAGGTGATATGGCCTCTTGAGACAAGCTTGCGAAGGATCCAAAGATGCAATATTCATGTGATTTTTTGCATGTGCCTTGCTGGGATTCAGTGAAGGAGATATAAATCAATATTTTACAAGCATTGTAAAATTCAAATTCGACATAGATGGGTCGTTAGGACCAGATTTCATTTTCTATAGTTGTATTCCCCGAAATTATCTCATGACAGAGGCATGCAAAAATACATTGTTAGAGGAATACGGACTTCCTCTTTCAAAATGGAAGTTCTCATGTCATCAAGATTTTCCCATGAAGCTTTCCTGGGCCAATGCTGAAATTTAGACATTTTGCCCGATGAAGCTTACATGGAATCCATCAATCACAGTCGAAGGGCATCACATACTTCAGAAAATGCTAGCTCCGTCAAGGAAGGGGATTATTCTGAGCAACTTGTAGACCTGCTACATGCCGTATTGATGTAAGAGAACTCCGTCAAAAACCTCGGAATTACGCATGTATAATTCTGGAGCATGAAAATTGCATTCAAAGAAATGAATATTTTCAGTCCGGGATTAGATTACCATTGATATTGCAGAAATTCAGGGTGATTTTGATATCAAACCCGAATACTTATTCCTCATGATTCAAGTTTTGCGACTCGGGATGTTGGACGTGTCCAACATGAAGTTGATTTTTGCAGCTAATACGGAATTTTGTCAAACGTGATATATTCACGATATATATATTCTTTTGTTTTCTCGACATATTATCACAAAATATGTCTCCGCCACTAATTGATTCATTACAAAAAATGTCAGGAACTTCGAACGTTCCCCCTTTTCTTGGTCTATCTTCAGATAAAATGTTACCTGCCAAGGCCAAAAGCTAATAATCGGTGGAAAGTGCAGTTACTGGTTTCTCAAGAAGTTTTTCAGTACAGTTTTCAGTAATGCAGTCTACACTTCATTTGTAAATTACTAGTTCAAATCCGAAAGGCCTACCTTTCCCTAGCAGTGACTATCTAGTGAGCCATTGAGTTAGCAATCGCTGGAGCTAGCAATCCAAATTCTCTACAATGGAGCTTGAATAAGCTTAGATGTGGTTAATATTATTTAGATCCTCGAAAAGTGGTCCCATTTGACAAAATATTTAAGAAAAATATACTGCATGCAATACTTTGCACATCAAAATGCTGACATACTTCCATTCGCTCTGGCATTGCTTAATTTGCTATGTAACCTGTGATAAAAGAAAACATTTGTCATTTGACATGAGCGACTTTGCACAAGGAGACGACATTCTGGGGACATAGTTTGAATTGCATTCACGTCCATCTTCTGTTTTAAGGATAACTATTTGTAACTATCTGCAACTAACTGAGAGAAAGTTTAGTATAGTAGGAAATCAAATCTCAGATGATAATAGCGACGAGGCATGACCTCTTAAATTATCTAATATAGACGATCGTGACTGACAGACGCTAATTCTAACCATGCTTTAGAGAAGTCAGAAATATGAAACTTAGTAAGGATGTACCCTTTTGGGATGCAGAGTTGAGAAAAAATCTGACTTTTAATGATATATATTTGCTTCAGTAAAATGGATAGACATTAAAAGCTGAAACTTGGCATGGACATGCTTACTGAGACACAAATATCAGGAAAAATGTCAACTCGCGAATGTATACCCTAGGGGCATGCTTTTGGGGGGGTGACGTTTTCAAAATTTTTTTTTGCCCTTGCGAATTGAACAGAGATAGAAAGGTGAAACTTCATACATAAGAATCTGAATTCAGAAACATTCAGGTTTTGAAGGTAAATGCCCACAGGGCACAAATTTCAATTATATATGTTTTGCTTCAATCAAACGGATAAACATGGAAAGCTGGAACGTGACATGTACGTACCAACTGAGACTCTGAGTTCAGGAAAAAATGGAAAGTTTTTGATACATTGGAAATGTAGCGCCGAAGGCGCTACAATAGCTTGCACATAGTATAAGCATTACGTGAATGTCTGGAATGAAGTATTCATCACTTGGTGGATAGTCACAAAGTCATGTTTCTTTTTTTAATTTTTGCAATATCACCGATAAATTAAATATTGCCGTGCTTTCATGAATGAGGGGCTTGCAAAGGCCGATAAGCAGGGCCATAACAACCTATGTATACATTCATGAGACACCCTGTCGTTCAAAATCGCTATGCAGTAATACCTCCGCAACTGCGGTTTTGCCATCCGCGATTTCGAGTATCCAAAGTGTATACTGTTTTGCCAACCGCGGTATGAGTTTTTGAGTATCCGCTATTTAAGGCGCATGCTAATAATTGTTTTGCTGTGGTGGTTTTCCTTAAATCTGAATAACCTTAATGTATTTTAACAGAACATCTATACTTACTATTTATTAATTTTTTGTTCAATGAGCCACCGAAGGGTCTACTGAAGGAGTATTAAAACTGAGACGACTGCTGTGAGGAATTTTTAGAGGGTCAGAAGGACTCTATCCTCTCAATCTCAGAAAGGTCTGCTGTTAGGTCCGCTCCTTAGAGGTTAGGAAATTACTCACGGCATTCGTCTCAACTTTCATACCACTTCAGCAGACCCTTTGGTAGCAAATTGAAAAAAAAAATCTCTGAAGCTATCCTTAATCCACAAATAAGATGACGTTTCGCCTGTCACCATCAAAGACATCTGTCTCCCCATGATGAGAGTAATTCTGATGTATTGCAACTGGAAGTGCCTTGGTCTCAGAACTTTTTTTTACCCTCCATCGTCTGTTCTCGAGCGTGCCGCAACGTTGTGAACAGACTTCAAATTTGTATAGACCAAGACGGCGGACATATTGAGCTCCTGAAGTGAAGTTTTCTGCTGTTTTTTTTTCTTGTTAACGTACTTCCAAAAAATTCGATTAGCTCCTAGATCCATTAAAACGTTCTGTTTCCATTCGAATTTAAACGTTTTCAGTTACCTAGTGCCCTCTCTGTGTTCTTGAGGGTATGGCGTTCCTAACTCCTTATTTCCCATAAGCCTTGCGTTTTACGAACCACAGTTTTGCCAACCGAATTACGCAACTACGCAAATCGAAGTACGCAACTCTCACTGTTGGCGAGGGTTTAGTGCATTTCGCACAATAACAGATTGTTGAATTTGGGGTACCCAACTAATAATGAAGGATTTTGGTTCATTGTGTATTTGGAAACTGCCAAGGATTGGCTATTTTATGATATTGATCATCATCGGCCAAAAAATGCATGCCTACAAATGTATAAACCTGTTTACCCGACTTCAAGTGAATGGAAAATGCTCCAAAAGTTCATTCCGAACGGCATTAAATACTATAATATCCGAATGCGATTTTCTGCATTGTTTTTAAAGGTTTTAATACGATTCAGAACTAATAATAAAAAATTTGTTTGACAGCATTGCGACATGTAGCTTTAGGCGAAATGACGTGTCTTTCCACGACAGATGCCCTTGACCCATAGAGATCGGCGAACGCTGATTTGGTATCATTTCCATAGGCGGCTACCTGTGAAAGTGTTATAAAGATAAGGAATAGTCTCTGGGTGATATTGCCTCCATCTCACCATTTTCCAAATTCTCTTGACTAATTTGTGCAGCATTTCCTTGCAGAATTTTACTTGAGCCATTTTTCATCCTCGGATGGGGAATGTGAGAACCAAGAGCAACAATTCTATACCCAAATAATTTCGCAAAAACTGTTTTTTAAGGCACACTCCGTAATACTAATGGTTTACTCTATGACAGAATATGTCGCATTCCGGTCTTTCATATACATAGTTTTCACTTCAACCACATTTGTTACTGAAATTGTATTAGCTTCATAGGGCTCATCCTCCAGGCTAGAATTTCCATGCCTTAACTTTCAAAACCAGTCATCCACAAGACACATACAGGGTGGGTAAAAAAAAACCGGTCCTCTTCTTTGAGACCTTGTATTGACAAAAAAAATGCAAGAAAAAAATTCAAACCTGACTACACGAAACTTCAATCAATTCTCTGTCTCGTGCTATAAAGTTTTTTCTCGATATTTCAAGAGAATACATAAAATTCAGCACTTGAAAAAAATTTGTCATGCAGAAAAATCGTTTTTCCTTGTGCATTTCCTTGCGTCACCTGGTGGAGTCACGAGCCAGTTGCCGGCTTCGCTGGTGCACCCATCAAGCACCCCACATTCCTATGACATTTCCCCCCTGCCCCCTTTATTCTCGTTAGACCGGTTTAAGTTCCCCCTCCCTCATCAAATGCTCAATCTGCCTATTCTTCATTCTTTCCATTTTTCATTCTTTTGATCAGCCAGCAATGAGCGTGCTAGCTTCGCCCTTCGGCCTTGAGCAACTTCTTGGCTGAT